CCAGCTTCTATATCCTATCTCCTCTGTAAATGTTTCATCTCCTCCTCCAGGCATCCTCGTAAGCCTAGTTATTTTTGGCCTGGGGCCACTCCTCACTGATCTCCCACTGTGATTCCTCACAGAGCTGGAGCTACTGCATGTCCTGAAGCACACTTTTCTGCCAACTAGCCAAGGTCTCCCTTCCTCACAATGCTCTGCTCGGCCTGACAGTTGTAACTAACACATCTTCAAATGCACAATGCGCAGGTCATGAATGGTGTCCTCCGATGTGTGCTCCATGCAGCACACGCCACCACAGACATCTGTGATGACCCAGCACGTGGCCACTGGCAGGAGTTTTGTAAAAGGAAGGCCTGAGGATGATATTCTGTCATGGATGGAATGCTCACAACCCCGGCCCCCCATCTATATGTTGACAGTCGAATAGTCGTGAGGATATTAGGAGCTTCAGCCTTTGGGAGGGAATTAGGTTTAGATGTGAAGGTGGAGTGTCCATGATGAGATTAGTGTCCTTACAAGAAAGAGTGGGGCCAGAGCTTCCTGTCCGCCTGTGCTGACACAACAGAAAGGTGGCCTCTGGAACCCAGGAAGTGAGGCCTCTGCAGGAAGTGAATCTGCCGTCGCCTTGGTCTTGATCTTGGACTTACCAGTCTCTAGAGTTGGTAGAGACAGCATCTGTGGTGTATGGTGGACCTCTCCAGTGCATGGGATTTTGTTAGAGGAGCGCTCAAGCTGAATGAAACATATCCCTTGACTTACAATTACTCCGAGTACCACTTCATTTTTGCTTTTGTGTTTGGTGGTAGTGGTAGGGATCACACCCATGTCTCACCTGTGCTTTTGCCCCTGAACTACACCTGTAGGCTCTCCTTACCATTCTTTCACTAGGGTTTCTCTCCCCCCCTCCTTTACTTTTATTTTTTCCCCAATGGGGTCTCGCTAAGTTGTCGAGCTGGCTTTGCACTCACAATGCTCTTGCCTCAGCCTCCCAAGAAGCAGGATTATGAGTACACAGCATCACACCGGGCCTTCTTTAATTAGGCCATATTTTTATATGGTTCAAACAGTGAAATAATGTAAGAGGTGTGCAGTAAAATTCTTACTCTAACAACTGTACTAACCATTTTGTTCCCACAAACCACCCCTAGGGAAGTTATATTAGTTTCTTATGTAACTTTTCAAGATTTCATGAGGATATAAGCAAACACACATGCACCTTTTTTCTCTTTTTAAAAGTTTGTAGCAGGCCAGGGATGTAGCTCAGTGTTGCCCGCACCTGCCTCACAAGCACAAGTTCCTGAGTTCAATCCCCAGTACCCCCCCAAGAAAAGTTTATAGCAACCTTTTTTTTTGGTACCGGGGATCAAATTCCAGTCCTTGCACTTGCACAGCAGGCAGCGAAACCACTGAGCTAAATCCCTGGCCCTGCAACTTTTTAAATAATTGCCCAAACTTGGAAGCAACCAAGATGTGCTTCCGTAGGTGAATGAATAACTGTGATACATCCAGATAATGGAATACTAATCAGCACTGCAAAGAACTATCGAGCCATGAAAGGACGTGGAGGAAAGTTAAGTGCATATCGTCATGTGAAAGCCAATCTGCCAAGACCGCATACTGGGTGATTTCAAGTATATGACATTCTGGAGAAGGCAAAACTATGGAGACAAGGTCTCCAGGGCTTGGGAGAGGAATGAAAAAATGAAGTATTGGGATTTTTAGGGCAGTACAGATATTCTGTGTGATACTATGTTGGATACAAGTCCTTATATATTTGTCAAAACCCACAGAACGTACAACACAAAGAATGAAACCTAATATAAACTATGGACTTTAGCCAGTAGTAATGTATTACTTCTTTTTTTTTTTTTTTAGTAATGTATTACTTCTGATTGCTCAATTGTAACAAATGTAGGGCCGGGGATTTAGCCCAGTGGTTCCGTCGCCTGCCTCGCAAGCGCAAGGACCCGAGTTCGATCCCTGGTACCAAAAAAACAACAACAACAACAAAAAAACAAATGTAGTACACTAATGCGAGACGTTAATAACAGGAGAAGCTGGATGGGGTATCATGAGGACTCTATGCCTTCAGCTCAGTTTTTCTGTAAACCTGAAACCAGTTCAAAAAAAAGATCTATTAATTAAAGCAAAACTGAACTGTACTCTATTAGCTCAATTCTTAATAAGTCTGTCCTCGAGGCAGCGGGGACCCAAGGATGGCTGGAGCACCGTGCAGTGATTACTGGGGTGCAAGGCAATCTAGCTGCAGGCTCTCCCCGCCACTTGTCCTTCCGGTAGAGAAGGGAGGAGGACCTGTGTAAACACGCCATGCTTTTTGGCAAACAGCAGGAAGGCAGACAGCTTTCCTTGTAACTGCTTCTTGGCAATTGCCTTCAATATCATATGCAAAAGTGCCCTATCTTGGGGGTATATTCTGGCCTGCTAGTGTGTGTTCAAACCAGGCAGCTTCTCCTCACCTGCTACAGTGCCCATGAGTCTTCATCACCTTCTTTGCACATTCATGTCAGAACGCATCTTCTAGTCTTGAGGATAGGACAGTGCAGGCCCGGAACAAGGAGAAAAGCCGCCCTCCTGGGAGCGCCTGCCCCCAGCCTGACCTGCTCCCCTGCATAGAGCACACAGCTTTTCTCCCTTGCCACACTAGACATGATATACTTATTCTGCACCTTCATATTTAGCAAATATTTCATGTTTATACCTAGTGTGTGCCACCACACCTGGCCCTTTACCTAGTGAGGTTTCTCATTCTTTTGGGAGGGGAGGGCACTGGGGAGTTAACCGAGGGAGCACTGAGTTACATCTCTTTTTTGTTTGGTTTAGTTTGGTTGTTTTTGGTTTTTTGGTACCAGGGATTGGACTCGGGACTTTGTGCTTTCCAGGCAGGCAGAGGAACCACTGAGCTAAATCCCCGGCCCACATCTCTTTTTATTTATTTTATTTTGAGACAACACTTGCTAAGTTGTCCAAGCCAGACTGGAACTTGTGATCCTCCTGACTCAGTCTCCTGAGTAGCTAGGATTACAGGCATGGATCACTATATCCAACCCTAATTCTTTTTGACAAATCTTTGTATCTACTGATGGACAAGTTTCTGGTATTGCAAACAATATAAAAAATACTGATGTAGTAAAGCTGGGCATGGTGGCACATGCCTGTAATCCTAGCACTCAGGAGGCTGAGACAGGATCAGTATGAGTTTGAAGCTAGCCTGGGTCAGGGTGAGTTCAAGTTCAGCCTGAACTACACAGGGAGACCCTGTCTCAAAAAACCAACCAATCAAACAAACAAACAAATAGATGTAGTGAGTTAAAATTCTATTTCCCCACCCCTTGAAGTTGGCATAGACTTGTGACTTCTTTGAATGCAGTACATTGGAGGTAATGTGTAGACTCCGAGCAGGGTCTCAAGGGTACTGCAGCTTCCTCCTCTGCCCTTGGGGAACCCTGAGGTCACTGTCCTGTGAATAAGCCCAGGATAAAAGATCACATGGACAGAGTGGGTCAGCCACCCCGCCAGCTTAGCCAAGAGCCCACACATGAGTGTTCCTGGGCCCGTGATGGGTCATCCAGCCCCAGCAGAGCCATCAGCTGACTAGAGCCACTTGCATAATCAAGGCCAGACCAGCAGGAAAACACAGCCATCCTCAGAATCTGGAATAACAGTAAATGGTAGTTTTAGTCCAGTAATTCACTCCAAATCTGGGGGGTGATTTCTTACGCAGCAGTAACTAACTAACCCAGCAGGAAGATCTTCTAGGGTTTCAGAAGTGGGACTGTTGGTTCAAGCACACGTGCATGATCTTCCGGGTTGTATCATTTTGCTATTCCACCAGCAATGTGTGAAAGTACCTGCTTTACCACAAAAAGTGTCTTTCAAACTTACAGACTTAAACTAATATGATCAATAAAAAATAGTAGTTGAGGGCCGGGGATGTAGCTCAGTGGCACCACACCTGCCTGGCATGCTCAAGGTCCTGAGTTTGATTCCTGGTACTGAAAAAAAGACATCTGCCTATGTTTAAGGCCTCATGGTTTGTTTTTTGTTTTGTAGTACTGGGGATTTAACTCAGGCCCTTCATGCTGAGCAGCACCCCCAGCCCTTCTCTGCCACCTCCCAGCCCTTTTTTGTTTGGTACAGGGCATCCAACTCGGGACCTTGTGCTTATGAGGCAGGTGCCGGAACCACTGTGCTACATCCCCGGCCCCTCCTCCTGCCCTTTTTATTTTTAAATTTTCACCAGGGCCTTGCTCTGTCGGCAAATCGCTCGTGCTGAGCTCAAACTTGCGGCCTTCTTGCCTCGGCCTCCCAGAGTCCTGGGATTAGGTGTTAGCCACCATGCCGGACCCGCCATGTTCTTTGCCTGTACACTGCTGGTCTCTCTTATCAATATATGGAAAATCTAACTGGTAGGGAGATTAGGTGTTTGTATATGATAAGAATTGCAAACATCAAAAAAAAAAAAGAATTGCAAATATCTTTCCTAGTTTGTCTTTTGATTTTTTTTTTTTTGGTACCGGGGATCAAACTCCGGACCTTGTGCTTGAGAGGCAGGTGGCAGAACCACTGAGCTAAATCCCCGGCCCTTTTGATTTTGCTTATGATGTTTTGGATACACAGAACGTTTTACAGACAAATGTACTCGGGGCGGGGGGGGGGCTACTGGAGATTGAACTCAGGCCTTCCCAATGTGCTATATCCCTAGTCTTTTTTACATTTTTAAAATTTTGTGACAGGGTTTTGCTAAATCACTAAGTTGTCCAAACTGGGGTCTGACTTTTAATCCTTCTGCCTCAGCCTCCCAGAGTGTTGAGATTACAGGCATGCACCACTATGTCTTTTTTTTTTTTTTTTTTGCGGTACCAGGGATCGAACTCAGGTCCTTGCGCTTGCACAGCAGGTGGCAAAACCACTGAGCTAAATCCCTGGCCTTGCACCACTATGTCTAGTTGAGACAAATGTATTAATCTTTTCTCTTATAGCCTTCCTCACTCCAAGAGCCATGAAAGATTTTCTCCTTATTTTCTTGAGGTATGTACCCTGACAAACTTCATGTCTGTTATCTTTTCTTTTTGCAGGCTGGGATTGAACCCAAAGTCTTGCCCATGCCAGGCAACACACTAGGTGTAGCTGGGCTACTACACCCCAACCCCTTTCACTTCGAACATTCAAAGTCAAAATACTGGTGTGAGTGACCCAGTGTCACCCATGTGGGGAAGAAGCACAGGAGGAAGAAAAGCTAGTGTAGGAGGTTTCTGAGGAAAGGTGGTGGAGCTGTTTGGTACCTGGTGAGCTCAAGATGTCTGCATGACCTCTCAGAAGCCAACAGAGTTGGAGGTCTGAGCTCAGGAGAAAGTCTGGGGTGAAGACACAGACTCGGAGACCACCATAGGGACATCAGTCACAAGACTGTGTGTAGAACGCAGGCATGGTGGCATGTCTTTAATCCCAGTACTCTAGGAGGCTGAAGGAGGAGGACTGCAAGTTCAAGCCCAGTCTAGGGAGACCTTGTCTCAAAATAAAAAATAAAAAGGGGGAAAAAATAAAAATAAAAAGGGGTGGGATGTAGCTAAGTGGGAACCCCATGAGTTAGATCTAAAAGAAAAAGTGTGAGTATGTGTGTAGAGTTTGAAGAGGGGAAAGTCTCAGAACTCTAGGGAATGGTCAAATTCAGGGCTCAAACATGCTCATGAGTTGGGCATGGTGGCGCACACCTGTAGTCCCAGTTCTCAGGAGGCTGAGGCAGGAGGATCGTTATGAGTTTGAGGCCAGCCTGGGCTACATATTGAGTTCATGGCTATCCTGGATTACAGAGCAAGACCCTGCCAAAACCAAACCAAACCAAAACACATGCTCATGAGATGAGGCCCACCAGGTGCCGTCTCCATGGCCCACGGGGCTCGCCACAGAGATGGCCTCGGAGCTGTCCATAGGGTGAATGCAGGCCCTTGCACGAGACATGTGTGGACATCTTTGGCTTCTGGGGACAAAGAAAACAGGGACAGGGAAGAGGAACAACAACAGGCCGGCAGGCAGTCCCAAGCCCCAGGTGTGGGAGGCCCTCGACAGGGAGGAAGGCCGGGTCAGGCGTGTAGGCTGCCCTCCCCAGAGAGCCTGAAGCAGGCATCACTAGATGGAGGCGAGTCCCCAGGTGCGGGTGGAACACGGAGATCCAGCCACTGGTCATCACCACCATCACTATCATACAACAGCAAACATGTGCACAGCACTACTGCATAGCAGACACTGCTCCATTCACTTGTATCATCTCATCTAATTTTTAGAGTAACCCTTGAGTTTGGTACTATTGTTCTTCCCGTGGGAGCTCTGGCATAGTTAAGTAGCCTGCTGCATAGAGTTAATACGGGAAAGAGCTGGGACCCAGCCACAGTCATCTAGCTCCTGTGCTGGTAGATCAGACCTGCAAGGAGGGGACAGGATGGATCACTAAGCCTCAGGACCAGGCAGAGTCTGAGCTCCAGGCAGACTGGAAGGGGTATACACACCCAGAACCTCCACACCCAAGACCCACTGTACTCAACACAGACTTCCTGGCTGCTCAGACAGCCTGGGCAGCACAAAGGGCTCAGTTGTGGAGGGCCCCACCCGAGCCAGGTCCTGAGATGCTAACAGAGGCGTCAATAACTCCACACTGCAACTGGGAACCTTGAAGGCAACGTGTGGAGAGGCTGAGGCAGATGGCACAGGTGAGGCCAGAGAGTTCAGCCCACAGGAGTAAAAGCCAAGAGGGGGACCCTCAGCAGTCCTCCCTCACCAGGGCTCCTGCCATCACCACCTCCACCATACTGGGACTGAACTGGGTCTTCATCCCCAGCCCTTTTTACTTTTTATTTTTAAACAGGTTCTCTAGAAGTTGCCCAGGCTGGGGTCAAACTTACTATCTTCCTGCCTCAGCTTCCCAGAGTGCTAAAATTACAGGTGTGCTACTACATTCAGCTTTCCAATCTCTCTTGATATCGCCCAAATCTTACCTTTGGAAAGGCAAAAATTGCCAGACCATGTTCTCAGATGGGGAAATTGACTCCCATAGAAAAGCAATGAATTACTCAAGATCACAGGCAGGACTAGGAGTCAGGTCTCCAAGAGCCCTTGCACTGTATCCCTCGGAGACAGGTATGAGAGAGACAGGCAGGCAGGAGGGAAGCAGCAGTTAGAGAGACAGAAGCTAATATGGAACAACTATGGTCGTCAGGGGACCCGGCAGACCTTGGCCTCCTGAAAAGCCCTCCAACCTGCATTCCCTCTGTGCGTTGACCAGGGAGCACCATCCTCACCCCTCCTTCCAAAGCCCAGGCAAGCTGGGTTGTAAAGGGAAAAGAAGGACCCAGGCCTCACACAGAGAATCAGACAGCATGGGACAGTCTCCAGCTGCACAATCACTAAACTTTATTTCCTTTTGGAGACTAGGTCTCGCTATGTAGCCCAGGCTAGCCTTGTAGCAATCCTCCTGTGTCAGCTTCCTGAGTACTGGGATTACAGCCATGCACCTCCATGCCTGGCTGTCACTCAACTTTAGAGCAGGGCATATAGATAAGGGTGGTCTTTCTGCCCACTTACTCTCACCCATTGTACAGATGGGAGACTGAAGTCCAGAGACAGGAAGTGGCTCTCCAGAAGTCCAGAGCAACTCAGGCACAGGCATCCAGGTCTCCTGACCAGGGGATACCAGAGAGGGGGCATTCCTTCCCTTGCTTGAACCTTCACAGGAGTTCTCTGGGGAAAAGCCCTGGGATCCTGAACTAATATTCCTTCTTGGCTATGCGGAGACTTGCTGAGTGACTTGGGAACTCATTTAAGTTCCTCAAGTGCGGGGATTTTCATCTGTTAGTCCCTGATGTGCCTTCAGCCCCTGGGCCATTGTCTGGCCCATTCTATGTACCCAATAAATATCAGACAAGTGAATGTCTAGAGAGGAAGGGTTAGGGAAATGGCACAGAAAAAGCCTGAAGTCTAAAGACCGACCAAGGAACCAGGGGCTTTATCTCAGATACATGAAAGGGCTAAACTAAGGTTCACAAATATTTTGTGAGGGTCCATCATGTGATGGGTACTGAACTTGATTAACTCAGAACCAGACCCAGGTGCAAGGTAGGGGCTGGTGGCATAAACGGCTGGGAAGCAATCCGCACTGCATAATACAAACACTCCTCAGCCGGAGCTGCCGAAGGTGGGCAGTCAGCGGGACTGCGGCGCTCACGCGGGACGCTGGCTGCCTGTCAGAGCCTGCGCCCGGAGTGTGCGGGAGGAGGAGTTCGGCCTCGGTGAGGTCACCTCCCTCCCCCAGATTCTGTGCCCACAAAACCCTGCAATTCTAACACTGAAGACTTGCTCTTATTATTTTCTGCTTTCAGAGTCCCATAAAGCTGACAGCCCCAAATTCTAAGTCATCAGTCTGCCCACGCTCCCGTACCCAAAAGAAATGAAGGCGAATTCAGCAAGGGTCCACCATCCTCGGCCTCGCAGGTCCCTGGGTAGTCAGCACCCTGCGCCCCACCTCGCCGGCACCGCAGGGGCGTAGCTGGTACGTCGGGGTGCCTGGGCGCCTGGGACAGTGTTGCGCGCAAGGCGCCGACAGAGCCGGGCACGTGACAGTCACCTCCTGTGCCGCCGGGAGGGGGCCCGGCGGTCACGTGACGCGGGGGCGGCCTGGGGTGATGTGAGACTTCGTCCTCGTGGATTACGTCCGAATGACGCAGTCCCACCCCTTTGGCAACTGTCAGATTTCCGTCCCGGGACGCGACGGTTTCGGTGAAGAGGGCGGGCTCTTGCGTCCCAGCAGCTTTGCTTCCGCTCGGGGCGTCGCAGCTTCCGGCCCTGCCTTTCCCTCGGGCGAGGAAGAGACGCGCTCTCCTGCGCATGCTCGGAACCGTGCCGGAGGGGCTGTACAGAGGCTGCGGGAGCGGGAGGGGGCCCGAAGAGGGAATTCCAACCTGTGGAGCTTCGAGGGGCCGAGGTCGGCTCCTGCCCATTGACTGCAAGGCGCGGGGCCTCTGGCGGCTCGCGGGGTTGTTGGGGTCCGCAGGGTGGATGAGGGAAGGCAATGTCAGTGTGAGTGGGGTCCGGGGAGTCCGAACTTAGAATCGGCAGCCCTCGGGGCTCGGGCTCCGGCGAGAGGGTGCTTGGGCCGCCATGCGGGACAGGACCCACGAGCTGAGGCAGGTGAGAGGCCGGGGGAGCAGGTCTGGGGCGGGCGGACGGGCTGGAAGCCGGACTCCTGGCTTGGGGCAGGGAGGGGCGGCCGAAGGCGTAAGGAAAATCCCGGAAGCCTGTGGGTCTTGCGAGGCGGGAGCCCCAGCAAGGAAGTGGTGCCAGTGACTCCGGGCCTGGCAGGGGGACAACAGCTCGGACGAGGAGGACAAGGAGCGAGTCGCGCTGGTGGTGCACCCGGGCACGGCCCGTCTGGGGAGCCCGGACGATGAGTTCTTCCAGAAGGTAAGGGCCTGGGGTCTTGGCCTGGCTTCTGGAGGGGCAGGAGGACTAAGGAGCAGCGCGCTCTGGAGCAGCCCATCCCTCCCTCAGCCCTCTCGGTCGTCCTCCTTAGGTCCAGACAGTTCGGCAGACTATGGTCAAGTTGGAGAGCAAAGTCCGGGAGTTAGAGAAGCAGCAGGTCACCATCCTGGCCACGCCCCTTCCCGAGGAGAGTAAGCCGAACCCTGGGCACGCGCATGCTCAGTCCGCTGGGTTGCGGGGGTCGTAGTTCTGTGCAGGTGGTGGCCAGGGTGGATTCCTTGAGCCTGGGGCTGTGATTTTGGTGGAAGTCATAGTCTTGTTTGTGTAGGCATGAAGCAGGACCTGCAGAACCTGCGCGATGAGATCAAACAGCTGGGGAGGGAGATCCGAGCCCAGCTGAAGGGTGAGCTCCTAGGACCTCGGACAGATCCTTCCCTAGGGTCCCGGCCTGTACCTGCTCTGTCTGTGGAGTGCGTTTCCCAGAGAGGCCAGTAATACATCCAGGTCGCACAGCAGGCCTGTGTCTAGAATCTCCGTCCCCTGGCATCCAGTGCACGGTACTTTCCGTAGCACAAGGCTGCCTCTCAGGTTCCTTTATTTACAATGAAACAAATTACATAATTCTTGCTGCCCAATGTGCATTCTTTGGGCAAACAGATGGGGGTTTGTGTTAGGAGACCTCTTCATACTCGTGGGAACCCACTGATGGAATGCAAAGAAAAATAAATTTTCTCCTGTCAGAGATTTAGCATTAGTCCATTTATTTGTTTATTGGGGTATTGGGGATCAAACCCAGGGCCTTGTGCATACCAAGCACACACTTTACCACTGAGCTACATCCGCAGCCTTAGTCGTTCTATAATTATATTTCCCCAGAAGATCTTATGGAGACAAGAACTTCCCTATTTTGTAGCTGGGATGTGCCCCTGGCCCCGTGCCCTGTTTTCAGAAGCCTGAGATCAAGGCCCTCTTCTCCACTTCCCTTGTGTCTTCCCACAGCCATAGAGCCTCAGAAGGAGGAAGCTGATGAAAATTATAACTCTGTCAACACGAGAATGAGAAAAACCCAGGTTGGTCTGTTTTTCCCAGAACTGGGAAATTTCAGCAAGTGTTTCATAAGTCATTAAATGGTAGATGTCTGATGAGATCCTCAACTCCAACCCGATGATTTTCCAAATGAGGAAGCTGAGTGCCAGAAAAAGAAAGAACTCGCTCACGGTGGAGAACCCAGGTCTTCTGATTGAGCACTGCGCTGTAACACCCTGCTTTCTTTTCCTCTTTTCAATGAGAAGCCGCTGTGTCTGCAGACATGACCTAAGTTTGGCAGTGGGAGACGTGCTTTCCAAGAGATGAGATGGGGAATTTGGGCAGGAGACAAAGACATTACTTACGTGGGATTTGGTGCCTAATGGCTCTGCCCAGGAAAGGAGAGAGAGGTCAGAAACGTCTTGGCAGGTTTCTGCCTGTGTTTTGGCCTTAGGCACAGAATCCAAGAGATCAGGAAGAGAAACTTCCCCGGGTGACATCTTAGTAAGGAGGTTTGAAGTGATCTGCCTGTCCCCCTCCCTCAGGTGCCCACTGAGGAGTAGTTTGGGGTTCTTGGAGGTTGGGGTTGGAGAAGGTGGGCCCAGAGCTCAGCAAACAGCCCAGACTGAAGATGGAGAGGTTTGGTCTTCTCGAGAGGATGCTGCTGAGCCCAGGAAAGGAGATATGTCTCTTAGAAAGGTACTCTAACCCAGCACTCAGGAGGCTGAGACAAGAGAATTGCTGTGAGTTCGAGGACAGCCTGGGCTACATAGTGAATTCAAAGCCAGCCTGGATTACAGAGTGAGGGCCGGGGATTTAGCTCAGTGGTTCTTCCACCTGTCTCGCAAGCACTAGGTCCCGAGTTCAATCCCCAGTACCAAAAAAAAAAAGTGAGGGATAACAGAGTGAGACCCTGACTCAAAAAAAAGATACTCTAAGGGGGCAGGGAAGGGACAGGAAGAAGTAAAGCAAATTAAGTTGTGTTATGTCCATGTACCATCTCCCCATGAAGAATGTAATCATGTCCTGTAAACATGTACTAATAAAAAAAAATAATAAAAATAAGATACTCTAATGTGGGCGTGGTGGCACATGCCTGTAATCCAAGCACTCTGGGAGTCTGAGGCAGGAGGATCATGAGTTCAAATTCAGCCTGGGCAACTTAGAAATTGATTAAGATCTTCTCTCAAAATAATAAAGGGGCTGGCTCAGTGCAAAGGACTGCATCCACCCCCCAATACCAGGGAAAAGAAGGAACTCTTAAGACAAAATGACCTAGAGAGGGTGTTTCAGGGGGAACCTCGGTTGTCCTCTTCCACATGGGCAGCAGGGGGACCTCCAGCACAGGAGCACACCTCCATTCAGGCATCGAGTCTGGTGTTTGGCAGACATACATTGAGTGCCTACTGTATGCCAGAGCCTTTTTGGATGAAAATATCCCTATCCTTGAGGCACTTCCATTCAAGTGGGATGAGACAATCACCATAATAAAGGAGTTACTAATTTTAGAGCACAGTAACTATTAAGGAACATAAAGGAGTAGAAAAGCGGTAGAGAAGGTAGGGTTGCAATTTAAATAAGGGGGAGGGGCTGGGTGTAGCTCAGTAGAATGTTCCCTTAGTTTGCACAAGGTCCATTCCTCAGTACCACAGAAAACGAATAAGCCAAGCAGGGCGGTGCACACCTGAGAGACTGAGCCAAGAGGGTCCCAAGTTTGAGTCCAGTCTGGGCAGTTCAGCCACTGTGAAGGCCAGGGTGAAGGCCCCAGGTTTAATCCTCAGTACTACAGAAACACACACAGACATATGCGAGAGAAAGCTTCATTCAGGAGGTGAACAGACTTGAAGGTGTGTGGGGAATGGAGTATTCTAGACAGCAAAAGCAGTGGGTTTGGAGGCCTGCAGTAGGCACGGGCTTTGTTCAGGAGGGATAAGGAGACCACTGGATGGAGGGACAGTGGGAAGAGGAAAGGTCAGAGTGGTAACAGGGCAAGAGCAGACCATGTAGGGAGGGCCATGTACACCCTGTGGAGGCTTTGGCTTCCACTCCGAGAAGTGAGGGAGCGCGACAAGGTAATTGCCAGCTGGCTGAGGCTGCAGGCACCTCCTGACAACTCCAGCGTTTGCTTCCTGTACCCTGGGGGTGCTGAGGCCCAGAGGGGCAAGGGTCCTCCTGTGGTGCCCATGCCATGTTCTCCATCCCCAGCACGGCGTCCTGTCCCAGCAGTTTGTGGAGCTCATCAACAAGTGCAACTCCATGCAGTCTGAGTACCGGGAGAAGAATGTGGAGCGCATTCGCAGGCAGCTGAAGATCAGTGAGTGGAGCCCCAGCCTCTGGGATGGGCCAGGTAGTGCAGAGCCAGCTCCGAGCTTCCCTTTTCCTTCACAGCCAATGCTGGAATGGTGTCAGATGAGGAACTGGAGCAGATGCTGGACAGTGGGCAGAGCGAGGTGTTCGTGTCCAATGTGAGTGGCCAGGCCCACCACCCTCTCCTGGGTTTCCTCTTGCCTCTTGGTGGAGGGCAGAGTGAGGCCCCGAAGGGGATTGAGGAGCATGCCTGGAGTCACCGTCAGGCTCATACCTCGCTCCTAGGCTGGGGGCTGCCCCAAGAAGCCCAACAGGGACTGTAGCCTGTTGCTAGCCTCCCTGCAACCTGTTCCCCCACTCCTGTACACCTCCAGATACTGAAGGACACACAGGTGACTCGACAGGCCCTCAATGAGATCTCAGCTCGGCATAGTGAGATCCAGCAGCTGGAACGCAGCATCCGTGAGCTTCATGAGATCTTCACTTTTCTGGCCACTGAGGTGGAGATGCAGGTGGGTGCCCCAGGAAGCCCCCAGAGAGGAGGCTGTGCAGTCGGAAGCCTCAGCTATGACCTGGGGCTGACCTCCCCTCTCAAACTCTCCTTCACCCTTGGCCATGCCCCCAGGTGGCCCTGACTCCAGCTTAGCCCAGTCCCCAGTATTGTGCCTCCCTCTACAGCTGCCCAGAGAATCACTCCTAGACACGTACACAGCATTCCATGTGGCCTCTAACTTGTGCCCACCCCAGGCACAGCCTCAACCCTGGCTCCTCTTCTACAGACAGAACCCACCATTATGCTTCTAAGAACTTCAGTCAGAGCTGTCCCCTAGAGCCAAGCGTGATTGCACATGCCTGTGATCTCAGCTACTTGGGAGGCTGAGGCAGGGGGATTACAAATCTGAGGCGTCTTGAGAAACTTAGCAAGGCCCTGTCTCAGAATAAGACGGAAAGGGCCAGGGACCTAGCACAGTGCTCCCTAGGATCAATCTGCGTCCTAAAATCTGCCCATGATTGGGGCTCTGGGGCATTTTCCTAACCCTGGTGAGGGGCTGAGGTAAACTTCTGGCCATCCTGGAGGCGCTGATCTCTGTAGTTCTACAGCCTGTGCCCTTTGCAGCTGGAGTCCTGGGAAAGGGCTCTCTTTCAGTGGGAATGCCAGGACTGAAGGCTGGTACTGCCAGCAGGGGCAGGGACAGACAGGGCTTCATAGCAGCTGGAGACCAGCCTAGAAGAATGGGTGAATTCAGACAGATTTGTGAGGGACAAGAGTTCATCTGTGAAAAAGATGTGAGCTTCTGGGCATGGGTGTGCACGCCTGCAATCTCAGCCCTCGGGAGACTGAGGCGGAGGTACACAGTGAGACCTGTCTCAAGTACACACGCACACGCACACGGCTCATCCATGTGAGGCCCTTGGCTCAAGGCTGCCACTGCACATGCAGGTTGTATGGAGCAAAGGAAAGAGGAGCAGGGGCCATGTGATTGAATGGGCCTAGAAGCCATCACTAGGAGTCGGAGCCTATGTCCCACCTGGTCCTGTCAGATCTTGCTGTGGGTTTTCCTACCAGGAGTGCCCTTCGGTCTTGTGGGCTGGCGCGGACAAAGATGCTTTTCCTCCATGGCTGGTCACCCTGGCCTCCCTGAACCCCACCCATTCTCTGAGCAGGGGGAAATGATCAACCGGATTGAGAAGAACATCCTGAGCTCAGCAGACTACGTGGAGCGCGGGCAGGAGCATGTCAAGCTAGCCCTGGAGAACCAGAAGAAGGCGAGGAAGGTGAGCCCCGGCCCTGGCCCTGGCCCCTGGCACCACTGTGATCCCCCTGACCCCTCCTCTCCCGCAGAAGAAAGTCATGATCATCATCTGTGTCTCCATCACGGTCCTCATCCTGGCAGTCATCATTGGCATCACCACAGCAATTGGGTGACGGCACACGTTCTCGGTGAGGCATGGGCCCACCCACCTGCGCCTACATGCCCTCTCGCTCCCTCACACCCTCCTCTTCCTCCTTCCTGTGCAGGTACTGAGAGCACCAGTGCCCCAGGGCCTGGCCTTTCCTCCCAGCAGCTGTGGGGCAGGCAGAGCCTCCAGCAGACCCAGTCCCCACACCGGCCCTGTGCAGGGGCCAATGGCTCTTCTGGAGTTGGCAGCTGCTCATTCATGGGGGTCTTCCCCATCAGGCCACTGCCGGGGGAGGGCCTGCAGTGTCCTATTTGGTTGGGACACATGGTTTTGTAAAAAATTAAAGAAAAGGCTTGCACCCCTGTGCATGTGTGTTCCTGGAGGGGCTGGCGAAGGGCCTCGAGGTTCCCGCCCATCCCCAGCTCAGTCCAGACTGCTCTCAGCAGCAGGACTACAGGCGGCTCATCCTGCCTTTCCGCTGTCCCATGGGGGTGTGGAGAGGGACAGGGGCATCTGGCACCCAGCTCAGCACTGTCCCGCCACTGTGAGTATGCATCCCTGAACACGGCGGGGTCTGCGCCTGAGGTCAGTGGCATTCCTGAGGCGAAGAGCAAGAGGCATCATGAGGAAGACGCTAAGCAACGGGGCCACACAGCGATGGGAACGTCTCGTCTCAGAGGAGACAGTGTTCACTGGAAATGTTAAACGAGGAGGAGCCAGTTATGCAAGGAGGCCCCAGAAGAGCCTGCGCAGAGGGAACAGCAGGCCGGGCCCTGTGACCAGACAGGGGCCCTGCCTTTGATGTGAGCATTCTGCTTAGAGCAGTCGCCCTGCAGCATCCCCGGCTCCTTGGAGCTTCCGGGCTGAGAGCCGGTAGAGGAGCGCGGCCTGCATCCGCAGCCCTGGGGTTGTAGCTGTCACCGCATTGGAAGAGCCAGTCCAGATGCCTACTTTCTGGAGAGGAGCGTGGTGCTGCCCCAGGATGCCAGGCTTCAGAGGAGCCAGCTCCGGGCCTGCTTGCAGGGGGCGGTGCTTCGCTCTGGTCCCCGAGGCTGGGAGATGCATTCAAGCCGCCTAGGCCTATGCCACTCGGCTGGTTTGTGCATTCCTGGACCTGGGCTGGGAAGTGGCAAGAGAGCGGGATCAGGTCCCTGGCCAGGCCTAGCCCACCCTGGCCCGCTGGGGCGCATCCCTGGGTGGCCCCCTGGCCTGGAAGACAGCTAACCCGCCTGCGCCTGGTGAGGTCGCCAGCAGCTGGGTGGAGAGGATGGGCGTGGTCACGGCAGCAGCTGGAACGGGATTGGCCAGCGGACCTAGGTTGTTCCTGAGGAACATCGGGATTGGGCCACAGGGGAGTTATTCCCGCCCATCCTCCCACTCAGTGTTAAACGGACCTTAGAGGAAGCTGCTAATGCGGAGCCACCAGAAGTCCCTCCTCGTGCACCCGAAAGTGGTTGGATCCCAGGGCGCCCGGGCAAGATCACACTTCCAAAGGAGGCGGGGAGGGTAAAGGGCTTATGGGGGGACTGGCAGGGCAGTGAGCTGGACACTTTAAGGAAAGCTCTCTTCATTTGCAGGAGTGTACACACACAGTCCAGATGACCACCCTGTGGGGAAGCGTGGGGCTGGGAGAGTCCCGCCTCAGCACCAGTCTAGACTGATTTGGACTTGGGGCTCTGGGTGCCCCTGATTCTCCATTTCTTACCCTGCAGCTTGCATCTCAACGGAGCTCTGTTGGCTTCCTCTGTCCTCTTTCTCATCTCTCTGCTTTCACAGTGAAATGCAAAATCCAGGCACCTATGGGATCTGAAGCGGACTCGGGGAAATCCACTGTGCCCCATCTGTACAGCTGGATGTCCAAGTACAACGCGTGCCTTCTTCCGGCCGTGCCGGACAGCGCCTCCCTGACACGGAGCTCCCCTGTCCCCCAGGAAGAGGTAGCTGGATGGTCAGTTAGTGAGGCTTTGGACCACCAGTGGGCTCAATAGTTTGCAGTCCCCTATAACCTCTGGGGACTCATGGAAGACTGGACAGGTGAGTGACAAGTTCAGAGCAGACCTGTCAGGCTGGGGAACAAGTGGAGCCGTGCACTGGAGCATCATCCCCTGTGCACACTCTTCCCTGCGGGAAACACCTCACTGAGGACCTCAGGCAGGAGGATTTTTGCCCTGAAATCCTGGCTTGGCTGCTGTCAGCTCCACTTTCCTGGACAGGTATCGACTAGCTGTGGCTTTTCCATATCCACCTTGTGCTACAACCTGTCAGCTGCAGCTCAGTCACTCAGTATTTTTTTTTTTTTTTTTTTTTTTTGGTACTGGGGATCGAACTTGGGTCCTTGCGCTTGTGAGACAGGCGGTCAAACCACTGAGCTAAATTTCCAGCCCTAACTGTTACCTTGTAGTTTAAATTCCCAAGAAAAGGAATTGGCATAGTTCATGTTGGAGGTCTAGCTACACTGACCTGCCTAGGAGCTATTGTCTGCCCTCGTGTCAGGACTTTACCCTGTGCTAAGATGTACGTGGGTGTCACGTGGTAGAAATAAATCCCTGCAGCACGTGTGTGTGCGTGTGCGTGTGCGTGTGTGTGTGTGTGTGTGTTTTAGAGGGAGGAGTGAATGAGCTGGGGTTTAACATATTCCCCCCAGCATGTGCCACCATCAGGCAGCTTGTTCTATGCCACCCAATGGCACAGCTATGCATGTACCACTGTGGCTCAGCTGCCCAGCACCGAGACATATGAATTATGGCTCCATCGTGAACATGTTAGCTTTTCTGGTATGCCCCTGTGGTTGACTGAACTTTTTTTTTTTTTTTTCCCGGTACAGGGGATTGAACTCAGGGTTCATTGAAAAATTTTTTTTTTTATATATACTGAGGATTGAACTTGGGACCTTGTGCTTACAAGGCAGGCGGCGGACACCTGGGGATTTAGTTCAGTGGCTCTGCCGCTTGTCTTGCAAGTGCAAGGACCCGAGTTCGATCCCCAATACCAAAAAAAAAAAAAAGGCAGGCAGCAGAACCACTGATCTAACTCCCTGGCCCTTGATTGAACTATTGTTCCAAATATTCACTGTTTTTCTCCACTGGGTGTCTGCTATAGGAAGACTGTACATTCATACCCTGATGATAGAAGCTTGGCTCTGTGCCTTGGCTATGGCAAATGGAATCTGAGTAGAAATATAAAACACTGGGGTCAGGGATTTAGCTCAGGGACACCACACCTGCCTCGAAAGTACAGAGTCATGAGTTCGATCCCTGATAGCAAAAAAACCCCAACCCGCCTCTGAGATAGCTTAGGCATAAAAATGGCATAAAGCTGGGTTGTACTTTACCTGTTAAGTGATGTATGATGTGAGAAATATATCTTACTTGCTGTAGGCCACTGATAGACTGAGGTTGTTTGTTACCACACTACGGTTTTTAAAACTATCACAGAATTAATACCCAAAATTGGATGCTTGAAAAAAAAAGCCTAAAACAGGTGGCATTGGCCTTGAACTGAACAGTGGCTGGTAAGAAAACTATTATTGGAAGAGGTGAATATGATGACTCATACTATGCCTCCGGTTAAACTGTAAGCTGGGAATAACTAAGAATACTGTATAATAATGACCAAATGAGGCTAGGGCTTTAGGCAAAATAATTGATTTTTTTTTCGGGTACTGGGGATCAGACTCAGTCCTTGAATTTGTGGGGCAGGCATCGGAACCACTGAGCTAAATTCCAGCCTGTGATCTACATTTTTAAGTAGTAAAGGATATGACAGAGAAGATCCTCAAGAGCCAGTGTTATCCTAGCACTTGGGAGGCTGAGGCAGGAGGATCACTTTGAGTTCAAGGCCAGTCTGGGCTACATAGCAAGACCCTGTCTCAACCCCCCCCAAAAGTGACCTTAAGTGACAAAATTTGATTAAAACTCATCTTTGTGCCAAGGGCCATATCAAGTTGGTGACAATTATGCCTTTTGTAAAAATCTTTTGAGCAGATCAAATTGGTTCCCAACAAAGCCTTTCAATTAGTCCAGATGATTTAGAGGAAAGAGATAAACAGTTTAGTTCTCCCCAGGGAATTAGTAGGTTTAATCTGCTTACAATTAAGTCTAAAGAGACAGGTATGTCTGAGCTGGGTTTGGTGATGCATGCCTGTGATCCCAGCACTCTAGGAAGTTGAGGGAGGAGGACCACAAATTCAACCCACCCTGGGCAACTTGGCAACCTAGCAAAATCTGAGGGAGAGGGGGAGGGGAGGGGGAGAGAGGAGGAGAGGGAGAGGGGAGATCTGGAAAGTTATGGTTATGGCTGTTGCCCTATGGAACTGACTACAATCAAATAAATAAGCTAGTATTTGAAGAGGATCACACCCCCCAAAAAAGAGCCACCAGCTCGTATCTTTTTTTTGGTACGGGGACCAAACTCGACCTTGTGAGGCAGGCGCAGTGCCACTGAGCTACATGCCTGGCCCTGCTTGTATCTTTTCTTTTTGGTACTGGGGATCCAACCCGGGTCCTTCTGCTTGCGAGTCAGGCGGCAGAACCACTGAGCTAAATCCCCGGCTCCCTGCTTGAATCTTGACTGTGGGTGTTCAAGGCTTAACATAACCTCTGGGCCTCCACAATTCTACGGCCATGAAGGAACCTAAGCCGTCCTCTGAGGGTGGTGAAGGAGGATAAACGGGACAGGACAGAACCAAGGACGCAGAGAAGAATGGACTAAGGAACTATGGGCCTTTCTCAGCATCTCCCCAACAGCTTAGAATTATTACAGAGCAGTAACTGGCTGTGTTTCTTTCATTCTTTCCTCTGAACAGGAGTGTGCTCCTGTCCTTGCTCTACTTTATATGTTGGATGTATATGTATATGTTTGGGAGGTGGATGCAGATAACTTTTTTTTTGGTACTGAGGATCGAACCCAGGACCTCAAACACAAATGCTCTACCACTGAGCAACATCCCCAGCTCTTGAAAAAAAAAGTTTTTTTGGTACTGGGGATCGAACTCGGGTCCTTGAGCTTGAGCTAAATCCTAAGCCCTGAAAAAAAATTTTTTTGAGACAGGTTCTTGCTCACTTTTCCAGACTGGCTTCAAACTTGTAATTCTCCCTCCTGCCTCAGCCTAATAGCTGAGATTACAGGCATGTTCCACCGGTTCTCTCTCTGTGCCCTGTGCCTCTCTCTCTCTTTCTCTCTCTCTCTCTCTCTCTCTCTCTCTCTCATAGGTCACTGGGTCAAGGGAAGTCACATCTACACATGACATAAAGACTACTAGAAGTCTTAGATTTGTGCTTCATGCCACGATTAGATTTGAGGAGCAGATTGTTTTGTACTGTATGTAGAAAAAACTTAAAAGGCAGTGATTCTGATGAAGGAAGATGGAGATTTTATACTTATTCAAAAATTCTCACTGGCCTTTCCCCAGGGAGCCCTATCACGTGGAGACCACCCCCGCTTTCATATCATATTTGGGTGTGTGGCTTAATGGACCTTGAGTGGAAATAACACATAGACTTCCAAGAAGTTTAACAGCCATCTGGGGTCTGCTGCCTTTCCTCTATTTTGAGATTGGACATTCCAGATTGGAGCTGT